AAACTTTTCTTAAATTCTCAGTTGATAAATCAAAAAATTATCAAGATACTAAGATTCCAACTGAGGCACCCTGAGGCAAAGTTGACTTTTGATAAGTTTTCCTTTTTTTTATCTCTGTCGGTCATACATCTTTTTTCGTATTTTGACCTTAAACGTTCTTTGCTTTAAAATGTTTGTGTTTTACTCTTCCTGATGAAGGTTAATCAAGAAAAGCACTTTGGGTTTACGACATTTATTTTTTTTTTTTTTTTTTTTTTATTCACAAATGATTGGGTGTGAGCGTTCCTGATAAATGTTGACTCAAAAAAGAAACTTGAAGCACGAAAGTAATAAAGTGTTAATTTCATTTACTAGCACTGGGTCTATACCACTGCTGGTTGACTTTTAGTCACCGAGATTATCTTCATTAGGAAATGCCTGTACCCAAGTCAGGAATATTACAGTTGTGTACCTTTTTCAATTCAGTATTAAATACTTTGGTACTGACATGATTTTTAACATACTTTTCTGAAAATCTCATCTGATAAATTCAGAAATTATTAAGAAACTGAGGTTCGAATTCCATCAGACAAAGTTGCCTTTATATGAATTAGGCTATTTGTATGTCCGTGTTGTTCATATCGCTCTTCATGTGTTTACGTCTTATACATCCTTCATAACATTTGGTTGAGGCAAACTTAAGTAAGAGAACGAAAACGAAAAATTCAGCAATGTTTCCGTTTGTAAAGGGGTATAACTCTAGAACAGTAAAAGTGACACCACCAAAATTCAAACTTTATCTGTGTTTTGTGGTAATAAGTATTGTGTATAAGTTTCATAACATTTGGTTGAGGCAAACTAAAGTCAGAGAACGGAAACCAACTTTGGGACGTACGTACGTACGTACGGACGAAGGTAAAACTTAATGCCCCCTCCGCTACGGCGGTGGCATAACAAAATCGGCAGCAATGCATAAACACTCGTCAGTAAAAGAAAAGAGGAAATACCTTCAAATATTTGTCTAATGTAGTTTCAACGAATTTAAAATATAAACATTCAAAAGAAATGGAAATGTATAAACATACGAGTGAAAAATGATCCACACTCAGAGAGGTCATAGGGATGTAGGGAACTTCTGTTTGCTGGCCAATTAAAATACGAATCTTTCCTGTTCTGCAATGACTCATACTAAGGATATTTCAATGGTGATGGTCTTGCAGGTGTACTTAATATTTCATTAGAACTAGTGTATGGTATATTCTGTTCAGATATGTTGAATGCAAATATAATATTACATCTCAAAGATATAAGTTTCGTATGATGCAACAATAAGTATCACTTTAATTCAATCAAAATGTATAAAAGTATAAAAGCAACAACAAAAATAGGAAATTCAAACAACTTCAAACGCAGTACTTTTTACAATATCAGAGGTTCACAATAGTCTATTTGCCATTTGCTATCCATGCTAATTGTAATAATTTAAAAGGTGAAAAAGTGATGTTTAACCAATTTCTAATAGAAAACGATTACTATTGAGTATAAAATATTTAGACTAACAAAAATATGAATACAGTTAAAAGATTTAAAAAGCATCATGCAAAAAAAAAATCGGGATGTCCGTTAGTTGTTGTCTATGAATATGTATTTCTGTCCTGAATGAAGCAACTCAAAAAATGGATCTCTAATTTGATTGTTGAATTACGGATTTGGCAACAGACTTTTATCATGAAAAAAGAAAATCACACAAACCATCAATTGTAATTGAATGTCTTCTGCTTAACAGTTCCACTGGATCTGATTTTTTTTCTAGAATATGTAGGCAGTTTGGAGAATACTTTTGATGAATATCTGCTGAGTTGCTATCAGCCCTCCAACCTTTTAAGAGTATTCCACAGCAATAACAAACAAGTTCATCTCAATTTCCTTCGAAAAGTACCCTTCTTCTGCCATAAGACTTATTCTATGTACTGGAAAATTGGATAATGTGGAAAGTTGCATAAGTTCATTGTTTATTCTGCTTTCTGACAGAGATCCCGAACTTTCTCTATTTAAAATATTAGTCAGTAACAATCGACTAATTGGATATACAGTTATATCTCCATTTACATTGATATTTTTAAGCTCGATTAAAGACTGGAGGATACGTCGATTCTTCTTTATCTTCGTAATTGATGGTTTTCTGTATACGAGTGAAAAGAATTTCTCCGTTATTTCTTTTGTTCTTGTTCTGTTTATATTACCATTTCGTCCTTTTTGTGTCTGATGGTAAGAATAACCTCACTCTAATTTAAAGAATAGCCGCAATTACTCATAGGACTGCTTTATATCAGCTTGTGTCATAGTATGACAGATATATATTATCTTTTCAAATAAAGTCACCTATTTATAAAAAGAAAACTCCCGTTCTAATTTTAGATACTGGAATTTCAATATCTTTAAGCGTCTTATTGATCGCAAAATTCGTAGTTATACGTCAACTTTTGTTTATTGATGTCTTTTAAATGTTGTATTCATAATAGCATAACAAATAAGTAAGTGCGATGAGATTGTCATGCATATACATGTATCTTTCTGAAAATAGGGAAGTAACTAATTTTCGCCAATATTTTTTTTATTTGACACCACTCTGTCATACTTTGAAACTTTCAATATCAATTTCGTGTATACAAATTTGACATTTGTATTTTACACACGTTATATTTTGATTTTAAGTAAAACAAATTCGAAAACTTTTACAAGTTCATGTTGAGGTAGTATGATACTTTGAGATTTGAAAAAATGTGAATTATGTTTTTCAATGATTATACTGTAATATGTGCATAGCTTTTTACTCTTTTTGTTTACGTTTTTGCGTGTGGCAATACGGGAATTTTTTTTTGCTGCAAAATTTATTCGCCTTTTGTGGGATTTGTTTCAGGGGATAGTTTTTACCGTACAGTGTTGGTTTTTTTTTTTTTTTTTTTTTTTTTTTTTACATTTAACCTTCATGTAGCAAGATTAATACTTTATCATTTGAATAGTCGCTCAGTAGTTGAAAAAATATTTCAATTTCAATTTGTGTTTTCTTTTATCATATCGCTTTGGGCAAAACATTCAAAGGATAATATCGACTGAAAAATTACAAAGTATGGTGTATAACTTCATGGGACAAATCAAACCAAATACTACGTATATATACCTGTTATTTATTGCAAAGTCTCATTTTTACAAAGTGCGTCAGACGTTTCTTTAATGTTATTAGAATACTACATGTAAGTATGTCATAATTTGGAAATTCTCTCGGCAATAGGATGAAACACTAAACATTTACATTAGGTTTGTTGCTTACTATTAATTTCTATTAAACATGCAGTCGGAACTCATGGGGAACGTAATTGATCTGTTTTACGTTTTAAAAATACAGAATTAATTTAGATATATTAATTATATTCATTTACAAATGTTTTATTCAAGTTTTTATTGGCAGGTATTCAAACACGACGGAAATCTGCGATATTGTAACACTAATTCCACGTCGATAATGGTCACAGTGAAACATCACGTTTGTAGCTTCAATGTTTGGAGCGAAGAAAGGAATTGTAATATAACCTATAAAAAACAAACACTTATTAGTTTGCGTTCAGAATATAAATAAAGCAAGGGAACAATCAAACATCCTAAGTCGAAAAAAAAACATAATTGCCAAAAAGAAAAATGACGGACAGACAAACAACAGTGTATAGAACACTGCACAACAGATTGAGCAAAACAAACTCAACAAAAAAGAGACAAATCTGAAACAATGAGATCGCACATAAATCATAACATGGTTTGTTTCCCCTTGATGCCAAGTTATTTTGCCCTTGTACAGAAAAAAATTAATTTTAAAAACAATTATTTTTGTTCTTCTTTAATCTAGAAACATACAACATGCTGCTCATTGGGTTATGATAAAAAAAAATGCTAATTTTGTTGGTGTTCTTGACCAGTTAGCGACTGTGCAAATGGATGTCTTTTGTTGCAGTCGGCATGGACAGTACGTCTCTGTAAAAACCTCAAACACTTAAGTTTTGCTTGGGGAAGCATATTTGGGTGTTGCAAAGTCCAACAAAGCCACAGCTGCCGACATTTGCCATCCTTCTTTTTCTTCCTCTTTCCTTTACATGTGTTTTTTTGTTGTTTTTTGTAGTTTTTTTTGTTGTTTTTTTTTTTTTTTTTTTGGGGGGGGGGGTGTTCTGCAACTAGAACTGGAAGGTTTCAGTGCAATAGGTAGTCAATTCCGTCAAAGCATATCATTTGTTGGAATCAAAAGTGTTACTCTTCACATTGAATTTTAAATATGCCGAATAAATCAAAAGCAAAACATTCACTAGAATTATAAAATAACTATCAAACCTCTGAAAGCATGGATCAAACAGAACTGATTCGTGGCGGAATAAGACGGTTATTGCACAATAAACGATTAACGTCTACTTTTTATAATAAACATGTCAATTTAAAAAAAAATTGCAGATAAAAGTCGACAATATTTTTATTAAGCATTATGTTTTAAATTCAAAAACAAAAACAAAAACACTTTATACATTTAGTGCTTCCGAACCCATTTCAAGATTAACTGTCATCAAAGTAATCCGAAAAACAAAAACAATTAAAGAAATGAAGTATTAGTAGTGCAAAATCAAATTAATGGCAAGGTACAAAAACTGAAGGAAGATTGGTTCTTAATTTCAATTTGTATTTTGTTTTATCATATCGCTTTGGGCATAAAATTCAAATGATAATATCGACTGAAAAAAACTGCAAAAACGATTAAATGGAAATGAAGCAGAACAACAAAAAAATAAGACCCAAAGACATTTTTTATAAAAAAAAAACGTATTCAGAAAAAAATCTAGGGAATTAAAGTGCTTTTTAACATTGTTACCACAGAGAATCAGTAAAACAATCATATTCGACAAATGATCCTGTATATCTATGATATTTTTTTATGTCCTGCCTCCCACGCTTATCATGTACTTTAGACATTGTCAAGTTGTATGTGGCACAATGTGATTAAGGTGTAATACAGATGTACTACATGTACTTGTCTTATGGTCTTCAACAGAATTACTTTTCGCTGAAAATTTCCAATGGTTTACATCGGATTTAAGAATAGAATGATTCATAAACAAAGTGTATATGTATGTATATTTAAAGTCTAATTTATGACATTGCACTGTCTACATAGTATTGACAGGTAGGGATTTGTGTGTATATACAGATAACCGACATTATAAGCTTTAATCAATATAAAAACATAACACTAGCCTTCAGTTATATAATATTCAACCGTGTTCATTTTAAAACACTACCATCATTGATTTGATTTGATTTTTATTTGATGTTTACAAAAGAAAAAACCTACTTTCAATTTCAAATCGTAACATGCATTCATTGTATGATGTTACACTGGCATGTCAGAAACTAATTACAACATACGGATAAGAAAGTCTAAGCACCATAATTAAAATGAACATATAATATATACAGCTTGCATCGGAGACAATTGCAATATAAAAACGTCCACAGAGACATACGACACGACATCAAGATCAGTGCTCATGTATCTGCAAAGAAACAACAAAGGTTATAGTGCAACATTGTAGTATGGGAACACACTCTGAGAAATTATGCATGTTCTGCTATTCCGCTAGTCCAAGAATGAAGAGTGAATGGCAATTCTTTGATTATTTCTGGTTTTTTTTTAACGTTTTTTAGACATTTAATAAGTGTTTAGATATATCTTCATACATTGTCATAGTTAAGACTACATGTTGCCTTTTAGGTGTTTTTGTCGTTAAGTTTCTGACTCATTGACATACAGCGTACATATCGTTTAATGCTTTACTATTGAGTTGAAAATCAATTCAGTTTGGTAATATCCATACCGTAAATGTTTTAAACAGCCTTATTTAGGCATGGGAGACCAAAGTTAATAAAAAACAAATGGCACATAACTCAGCGTTATCCATTCGAGCAGGGTACCGACCGGGCGAGACCCTCATGGGTAGTCAAGGTCGTTAAGCACCCTCTAGTTGTAGCAGACAACTGTTTCACCACAAATATTCTGCTCCTGAAACTTAGGCAATACAAATTGTGCTATCATCAAGTACACACTGCCTGAGATATATTCAAATAATTAAACTGATTTTTTTAATTATACGCTCCATGCTTAAACTTAGTTTAAATATGACCATGCCAGCAATCAGAATGATCAGAATAATCGGGCCGTTGTGATTCTTTTTTTTTTTAATTGAATCATATTCCCTCATCCTGCGGTCTTTTTATAGCTTGATATACACCCCCTAGCTAATTCATATTGACATTTTTACGTCGAAGGCGTTACAAAAACACAAATATATATTACAATTCTTTTAATGTTAAATGGTCTCTTCCAAATTGGTGTCTGTTTTATATTACTGAAATGGGGGAATATTGTTGTTCACAACGTTTCTTTATTGTCTATTTTGCTTTATGTTGGCATATTTTCTTTTGCATTTTACATTGTATACAATCTTGGAGGCCGTGATAACTCTTTTATTTTTTTTGAATAATTGGCAATTATATTTGGATTTGTTTTTTCTCAATCGATTTATGAATTTCGAACAGCGGTATACTACTGTTGCCTTTATATATCAAACCTGGCTGAAGATACAGAACGCTTGTTTTTCTAGATGCTAGTGTACTTTATGGGTTGTCTCATTGGCAATCATACCACATCTCCTTATTTTCATATTTAATGCGTTTTCCTGTTTAAATTAATTGAAAAAAAATTACAATCAGTCAGAATGCATTGTTGGCAATGGGGATCATTTAAGATCCAGTCAGCATGTATTAAACTCATAAACCAGAGCTTGCTTCTACAATTGTAATTCTTGTTGTCAATTGGTTGATTATAGATTTTTAAAATGCTATTTTTCGCTCAATTGTCCCTTTAACCCATCGGAGTAAGATATATTCGACTTTTCAAAAGCACAAACAAAATCTGACAAAGGACAGCATGAGTCTTGTCAACTTGGAACAGAGAAATATGAACATGGAATTGAAAAATATCAACTTAGAATTGAGCAATGTCAAGTTGGTATTGAGAAATGTGAACTTCAAAACGAGCAATTTAACTTGAAACTATGAAATGTCAACCTTGAAATAAATATGTCAACCATCTTTTGAAGAATTGGCACACCAGAATAGTTTAATAATCAAAAGCCTACAATTACAAATGACAAAACAAATGTAAGGGTTTTGTAATAATTTCCAAACAGGGAAGATATAGTGACTTATAGTCTGATAATTTGCCTTTATTTTGATAGTTAAATTTCCATAACTTTGTAATGGCGAATCGCAAAATTTTAACTATAAACATAGCGTACTTTCATCGAATCCAAAAATTGTGTAAATTTCAGGTCAATTGATAAAGTAAACTTAAGTTAGTGTACACTATGTGCAAACTGTACTTAAAACTGACAGTGAACCACTGACAAATGCATATATTCACTTTACAAACCTAATGCAATGGCAGTGAATTTAATGCTGTAACTCATCTTAGAGTAAGATTGTATCATTCTCTATGCAAGTGTATGATATCTTTTATTATTACAAAATGTTAATGCGTATGTGATTTTTTGGAAATTCTGAATATTAAACATGTTCAAAGATATGACATTTAATTTGTATACGGGTTGTTGCCGTTTCATGTGTATACTATTTTAGGAATGCGTACTTTTGAATTGGTTTGTAATTAAATGTATAATAGAAGGTCAATTTAGATATTCATGTTTCACTGAGACATGTTTATTATGTTAATCTAGGTGTGTACAGGTAAACACGCAAACAAATTAAATTTGAGATATTGGGACACTGACTTTGTTCTGTTATAGGGATCTTTAACAAGTGTTAACTATAAAATATCAAGTGTCCGGCTATAATGCATTGCGTACAGAAACGACGTTTTTCTTAATATACAATACCACAAAGCATGCACTTGAGAAGGACGGATTTTCATTTGGAAATGATTTAGATGAAATCCAAAAAAAAAGAATCAAACCTTTAGTCGAAAGACAGACAGTGTGACTAAACAATCAAAACCCGAACATATAACCAACAGTCAACAAAAGACTAAACTAAAGATTGAGAACTGCAAGTAAAAGCATGGAATCGTCATCCGGTACTTTATTTTCAATCTTGGTAACAAACAAGTAAGCCTGGGTATAACTATTTCAAAACAAATGTACACATATTTCGAAATGTTTGTCTCTTGTCTTTTTTTTATTTAAGGAAGGACTGTAATATTTTTACTGTCTATGAATAAATAACCTCAAAAATGTGGTGCACACTGAATAACCCGCGTAGTGGTTTATTTAAAAGTGTGCACCACATTTTTGAGGTTATTTCGAATAGACAGAAAAAAATATTACAGTCATTCCTTATAATTTGAATATAAATTCCATTTTTATAGAGTAAATCATGAAAACACTATTAACTTAATGACAGCACGGTCACATGACAAAATTAGGTCTATACACTGATGGACAAAACATTTTTAGCCAGTAAGTTCAGAGAAAAATATTTTTATGGTGTTGTATCTCCACTATTTTTAGGTATTTTTTTCCTCTAGAATAATTGTTATCAAACTTATCTGAGTAGTACTATGCAATGAGCAATTCTTAACAAATCCAGCAGTCCAGAATTGGGGATATTATACAGCTAAAAAAATACATGGTCTATGTCGAATAGAAATATAGGGATAAATTTCGAAAATAACATTGTTTGTAGCGAAGTGTTCCATCTCCAGAAAAGGGATGCTTTATTTATCTATGTTGCTCGTCTATAAAAAAAACTCGAACAAAGAGTTACTCTTCGTGTACGTAAATTCAATTCCTATATAACTTGTTTATGTCTCAGTCAAATATTTATGATATTGCGCTTTTAAATTTAAGTTTAACTTTTTACCACTATTGCCAAATTGGAAATACATCATTATAAGATTCAAAGGACGATATGTATTACTACTGTTATTTGATTACTGTTTTTGGCACAAGTAGTTACAGTTAAGCGGTTTTATAAATGAACAGTTCTTGTGATCGTGAAAAAAATAAATATATTCTCGATAAAAATTTCCAGCTTACCTAGATTTTATAATTAGAATGGATTTTTTGTGTATGTTTAACAACTTCTTTTGATATTACGTATTATATAATATGTTATGTAGATAACCGAAATTTACACGTCAAAGCAATGCTAAGACGCAAATCTTCAGTCGAGAAATTACGGAACATTAATTTCTAAACCTTAATCATTTAGATTTTATAAACAAACTGTTGAACCTTGTTTATGTAGATTTATTTACATAGTTGAAATCATTTGAGCGGAAATGTCAGTTTTACTATATATTTTAATTTTGATTCTTTCTCTCTTATTCTTTGACAAAATAGTATGTTATAGCAACTGCATACCACAGATTATACAGTCATTTTCCTCTGTCAGTAATACCTGGGTATGGATTGTTGTAATAGAACTACAAAACTGTGACAGTTTATCTGTCCTTAATCTGAAATACAAGGCAAGACAAGACAAGACAAGACACATCACATATGGATTGGTGTAAATGTGTCAAACATTACATGCATAGAAGGTCAAAAACATGTTGATATGAAAGGAATATGAATTCTTTTTTCTTCGAAACCGATACGATGAAATTAATTTTAAGGTGCTTATGAAGGCCGTTAGTTTTCTCGTTTGATTTTTTTTATATTTGTCATTTCGAGGCATAGTGTGGCTTACTATGCTGTATTAGTTATGGTCATTGTTGAAGGCCGTATTGTGACCTATAGTTGTAACATCTATGTCATTTGGTCTCTGGTGGAGAGTTGGCTATCATACCACATCTTCATATTTTCATATCGTTAATCGCAATAGGTCAAAATAAACTGTATTAATCAAAGCATATATGTATTAAGCTGTATACATATACGGTCAAAGTATTTGAAGTGTAGTTAACGAAAGGTTTAAAGGAAATAAAAGATTAAACGTTTTTGTTTGTTTAAAGCCAGTAGGTTAAACAAACATTCCCAAGGAATATAGACATGATAGAGAAGGTATAACTTGTAAAATAATTAGATGATGAGGAACACGTTTCCTTCAC